GCCATATGAGTTTCAAGGCCCCCAAGGTCCAAGATTATCAAAACATGGTGTCACCATGCACTGCAGGTATTGTGGAGATGCATGCCATAATAAAAAGGGATGTAGCTTGAGAAAGGTTGGTGTCCTGCCACCAAGGCATACAAGCAATGCCCAACCAGAAGAACAAGCCCATCCAGGAGGACGCCAACCAGAAGAGATGGATGATGATGGGACAGTACAGAGCCAGGTCTATTAAATTTTTTTGTCATGCTCTATGTGAAGTGTTTTTTATGTACTGACATTTTTGTGCACACTATTATATAGGTGGTTATGTGGTCAGACTCCACTATTCCTTTGATGAGCCAACTCAGTGCCACCATGGTATCACATATGGAACAAAGAGGTCAGTCAACTACCAGCCCATCTTAGCCATTCAATAGATATATTTCTTAACTGAAATAATTTTATGTTGCAGTCAACCCAGAGCAGGATACAAGTGAACCAACCTCTCCTTTCATTAGCTCTAATGTTCCAGCAGCAAGACCTGTGCCTCTAACCATAATATCCAAATCTGGGAGAAAAAGGATTACAACCATGAAGGCACAAGAACTACACCTGCAGAAGAAGAAGGCTATTGGTGGGAGGAAGAAGGCTTCAACTGAAGCTGAAAACTAAATTCATGCATGTGTGATATGTAATCCTTTTGTAAAGCAGCAAAACATTGTCTGTTGCTTCCTTCTTTTGTGCAGCAGTAACTTAACTGCTAGCAGCTTTTGTATAGCAGCCACTTCACTGCTAACTTTTGTACAGCATCTTACCTGATAGCTTTTGGATAGCAGCAACTCTAAGTGCTACCATGTAGAAAATAGATAGAATGGTTGGGGACAGCAGTAATGTGCATTGTCAAACTAATTTACTTATCGGTTATGGTAGTATACTGAAACATATGATTTCATTCACAAATGATCCAGTTATAATGACCTTGCTTTAGTTACAAACAACATTCATTCAGTTCTTTATAAGAATGGCACACAACAGCAACAAAAGCACCAACACGATACATAATAGGAGAAGGCAAGCAACTTTGCACAAGCCAACCAGCTTCTTTATCTCAGTCAAAACACCAGCTATTGAGTCAACGGATTTGAAGCCGATGCAATGGTATACCATCTGATGTCAGCGGATTTGAAGTCGATGCAGTGGATCCAACCTCCATACTCGGGGATGAGATGGTGAATAGCACCGGCTGTAAGCACACAGAGAGAAGGGGAACGATTTGGTCAGCTAGTGGAGAGTGAGGAAGAGAGATAGGAGGATGGGTTGCCATTTAATAACTCAGGTAAGGACTTAAATGCATTCTTCCACCGACCATTCTGGCGTCAAAACTCCTGCCAAATCCAACCTGGATGCCACGATGGACAACCACGTCGGTTAAAAAATTAAAACAAAGGGGTATGAACTAGGAATGCGCCACTAACAAAGATTATGGACCAAAAAACCCACTATCAGAGTTGATGGACCTAAATAAAACTAGAGTGCAAGTTGATGGACCACTGATGTATTTTACTCTTTTTAAAATTCAAAAACTTTATACTAACACACTTAAAAAGTTTGTACTTTAAGATTTAAAACTTTGAAATTTAAAACTTTACTTTCAAAATTCAGGAACTTTATACTAACATATTTTTTGAAGGGAACTCCGGTTAACAAAATAGCTATGTGGCTTTCTGTACCAAATTCTGTTCAGTTTAGCAATAGAAAAATATTGAAGGTCCATAGAATGTTTCATCAACTTTTAAGAACGCTGCAGCAGCAAAACAAAAACTTATACATAAAAGAAAGAAGAGGTAAGCAGAGGCATACTCAGATCTAAACATAAAAAATACAAAAACTAAAAAACATAAGACAACTTAAATACTCAAATGCACACTCTGAACATCAAATGAGCTCAATTAAAAAAACCTATAAAAACTGCAAACTAAGAAAAATACACTAAGCTAATGAACAAAAACAACTTAGCACCAGCTAAGAAAACCAAGCTCAAATACACTCAGCTAAATTACTGTCTTCCCAAAATATCATAAACTAAATCAAAGGTACATGAAAGGAGCACGACCTAAAAGTTACTGTACGTACTAAAGAAATGAAATGCATTATTGAAGGTATGCATAGCAAAAGGTCCATAGTTCATATATCAAAAATTGCCCAACAACCATAGTTCATATATCAGTGAAAAAGAAAGTGTCACCAGCCCACCATCAAGTGCCAGTTGTGAAGATTAAAGCCCCCTTTGGCACGGCTCATCCAAAACAGTTTCACCGGTGAAGCCAAAGCAGGTGAAGTCAGAAAAACTGGTTTTTCCCAGATTCTAGTTCATTTTAACTCCGGCTTACAAAACGGCTTCACGCTACAGTGTCTCGATTTGCGCAAAATAGATGAAGCCGAAGCCGACATAAGCCGTGCCAAAGAGGCCCTAAGCAACCATCCCAGGCGTGTTATGACAGCTTAGCAAAGAAATATCATCTTATCTTGCTCCCCAAAAAATTACAGTGCTCACGTACTTTTAAAATATGAGAACCCATTTGCGAGTGGAAGTTAAAACATGTATGCTTAAGTGATACTTTGAGCATCTATGGTACATACTCAAAAGGACATACCTTCATACCCATCAAGATTCAAGAGTACTGAAAGCATTGCACACACATATCATACAGCAATCTGAAGTCTAATAGCAAGCAACGTACAGCGAGATAAGAAAGAAGCATTACAGAAAACTGATTCTCCATGACCGACAAACTCTCACACAGACCGGGTATGAACTCAACCCTAAAAACCTCTAGAAATGCTACCACTCCTGCAAAACCAACCTGCTGATATAAAGTTCTCCGGAATGCATCGAAGTTCAGAAAAGCAATATAATGGCATTAGCACACACCCCATCCCACCAAGTGGCACACCCTGGGAAGCTGACGGTTTACAACGCTCTTTTGTAAACTAGATCGATTGGAGCTTTCTGCAAGCACAACAACATATTACATCCTGTCAGCATAGTTTTTTGATCCATTTGTGTTTTGACGAAAACCATGCATAGGATAGCTGATGTCACCCGTCCATGTGACGCCTCCTCCCGAACACACGACCAGAGTCTCAGGCCAAGGCTCATCTGAAATTGCTAGAGCAGAACTTAGCACGTAGCAGGTAGCACCGACAGCTTTGAACTAGAGGAACAAAAAGCACGTCTGAAAACATCCACCACAGAGGACACAAAACATGAGGCGTCCATACCATCCTCATTGCCTCCATGAAGGTGACACTGAACTCCTTGAGAATGTTAGCGTGGTTGTTGAGCCGCCTCCGCCAGACCGCCATGCCTGCTCCGGCGGCGCCCCGCCATCGAAATCCAACTGCAGCGATGTAAGTTCCAACGCCCGAAGCGTCACACCAGACCACCTGTAAACAACAAATTCATGAGCGAGCGCAGGAGCAAAAGTGGGCTCACCAGATGCAGCACAGTCCGGCCGACGTAATCCTCTGCCGACCATGATTTCTTCCGGCGCTGGAAGATGTGGCCGCTCACCATCTACTACGTGAAAAAAGATTTGTAGGGACGTGGTCCTTTTCACTGTAAGGACGGCTGGCTCTTTAACCGCCCCTACAGTGGCGCTGCCTGGCCACACCTTGTGCACTGGACACCAGCCGCCCCTATAAATAACACAGTAGGGGCGGCTGGTGTCTCCAGCCGCTCCTACAAATAGGGGTCTGCCAACCGATGACGACCGGCATGGTGATTCTAGAACAAACTGCCTACAGAACGAGATGTTCAACCTCGATCGGACCCTTCCGGCTTCCGGGGATGTGCTGACATAAATCTCTGGTTCAGTTTTAGTGGCATGCATTTGCTTCCTAAAAAGACTGTGTTGGTACGCCGCCGCCGGCGTGTTGCTTTTTGCCGTTGCGCTCGCTCATTGATCAGGTCAGGTGCAGCAGCAGGACGTGCGATCCGATTTAATTTGGCGAAGCCCAGGGAGGGTTGCGCTGCACCGCGACGCACAGCAAGTCAGGAACAGAGAGCATTCACTTGTTCAGATTTGATACGTACGAGAGCTGTTGCTGAATCAGTGTGGCACGTACTACTTGCCAGTAAACGTGTCACGTGTGTGTACGTTCTCAGTTATCTACACATGCCATGCCACTACTAAACAATTGTCCTCCACAACCCGTTACATAAACAAAAGCTAATATAAAAAGTACACATATACATATACCCTATTTGTCTATTACCTACTCATGATGCATGCCATTATTAGAGCAAGTGAAGCCAACCATCTCATATTCACTTATTAAGAGTTTAAAGTCGACTTAGAAAATATTCACAGTTGCCATTTATTTATTTATTTGTCAAACATAGTCGAAAATTGAAAAATAGCTCAACAAACATTTAAAAATAAAGATAAAAAAGCTTCTTGATCAGAGAAGGGTTTGAAACATTTTGCAAGGTATGGTTCCAGGACTGCCAACCACACCCACAGGTTTGCATTTTTTTTAGGTCAACTTTGGGGGGATCAAAACGAATCCCACCTGCATTTCCATTCCACAGATGCTGGAGAACCGGTTGGTAAAAGGCGGAGCCTTTCCAAAGTACATCAAAGATCAGAGGCTCAGGTAGAGGCATTTAGATTAGTTTGCCTCCAGTTGTTTGTTAAGTTCGCTTCCTTCCTGGGTATGCGGACCCAGGAAGGAAGTGAACTTAGCAAACAACTGGAGATAAACATGTTTGGTTTGCATTGGGAACCAGCTTGCACATCATGTAAACTTTTAATACCAAAGTTAATTATTCCAGGCACATACAGGAAATCGGTAACATACTTGTTCAGAGAACGGATACAATTTGTGTGAAAACAACACTCCAATATATATGTTCCATAAAAAAAATAGCGAGAAATGAAACAAAGCAAATCACATATACTGATACATGCAACGACTAGAGATGCACTAGTGTCATGCCAGTCACAGTTTATGTTCTACATCTCTGACCAAGTCTCCTCAATTTCGGAAAAGAGCGGCCTGACAGTCTTGTTGAGTCCAAAATCAGTCCCAACGAAAAGCATGCAGCTTTCAAGTTCGGACATGGTTTTCGAAGCTTCAGATAGTGAACTCTTAAATCCCTTGTTTCTAAAGATTTCCACATACTGTTCGCAGCGCATCACTGATTCAGCAATCTGACCACAAAGCTTCACAATTCTCAGACTGTCTGCTGTTGCATGACGGTTGTCGTCTATTATGGTCTTGAGCTTATACACAAATATTTCACGTCGTCGCTCCACACTTCCTGCATTGTTCTCATTATGAAAGGCTATCTGAATTGCACCATCCAAATCTGCACCGTTCAGTTTATCACATATCACCTGAGCAAGGGATAAAAACGCTTCTTGCTCCTCCCTTTCTTGATCAGAAATGTGATCTATCCTTGTGGGGCTTTGTCGTGGTACTCCTAAGCATCTACGCACCATTCATTTAATAGAATTAGAATATATGGTCAGGATCATCTAGGTAATAGACCAAAATATATATTTAATTAATTAAAATAAGATAAATAAGGAAAGTTTTAGATATATTTTTTTTCTAGATTTAATTGATGCATGTGTGGTCTATTGGATACGTTAAGTCTTTTTATTTTGTAAATTTGGATATAACATAATTTGATTAGCATAATTTAAACATGACATAACATAATTTGATTAGCATACTTTGGATATACGTGACAAAATTTGGATTTAGCCTAACGTACATGGCATAATTTAATTGTCATAATTTGATGAGAGCTACGTACGGTAAAAATATTCCACCCGCTATCGTGTTCCATATGCACCCAAAGGAAGGGCCGCTCGCCCGTTTGTTTCTCCCGTGAAGAAGAGATTTGCTAATATTTATTTTTCCTTTTTCTTGGTTAATTAATTAATTTAAAACACCTAAAAAAATCAATGACTCAGATTTATTTGAGGTATTACCTTCTGAGTAAACGGAGTACCCTAGAAATGTTATGCCTTTCTTCATCCTCTCTGGATACAGTTGGACTTTTAAAGTCTACTGATGGAGGTTTGTTCTGGCCCGCTGATGCTGGACTTCCCCGCCGGCTACGCTCGTCTCTTGATGCAGGTTTGTTCTGGCCCGCTGAAATTTGTCTTTGTTGTGGTTTTATTGTCATTGACATTATTTCTCTGAGGACCTGCAATGACAGAGTTGCTTATCAGTTCTCTTCGTTTTTTTGTTGTTCTTCTGTAATCATTAGCATTTTGCGGGGTGCCAAGCCTGGAACAATAATTTTTTGTTGAAACAAAGTCTCCTTCTAAAAAGAATAGGAAATGGAATTCAAATCAATGCACACATATTTCGTACTTGTAAAATGTAAATGAGAAGATAAAAACTGTTGTGTTAACATGCTTCAATGTATATCCACTATTTTCAGGGAAAAAAAGGCAGTGCTGTGCTACTGATGTATTTTGATTAGATTAATAGATTTGCACACTCACCTTTGGCAGCAGTATTTCCTTCATAGTATTGTCCACATTACAGTGAGCACACAGGTTCGCCATTATCTCTGCTGCTATTGTTCTCTGCGTGACGTTCTTCTTATCATCAAGTATTTCAGTGAGACGACCAATAATGCCATCTTGCGTGGTCATGATGAGGGCAGAGTTGCTTTCACTGTTAGTTGACAGGGATACCAGTGTCCTCCCAGCCATGGCGGCACCATCTCCATTAGCAAGCAGGAAGAGTTGCAGCTGATTTGTGACGAGTACTTCTTTAATTTCCTCGGAGAGGTTGGTAGACAAATCCAGTGCCAGTTCTGTGAGGATCTCCATGGCAACCAGCTGCAGTTCTTGGTGGTCAGCTTCATCATTGCCCAGTTCAAGAAGAATTTTCTTCAGGTTGCTCAGTGCTTGATGCTTTGAGAAGATTTGACGGCGCATCCTCCTGCTAGGCCGGCCTGGAGCGCGGATGAGCTGGTACAGCACTTTGAGGCATCTGGTTACAATGTCTGCCCAAGCCTTGGTTTTGACATCCTGAATTAAGGTCGCCGAGTAGACGGGTGCTGTGATTTTAGGAAGGAGCTCGGGGGCCCCGCATATAATCCTGCGGTTGTAGTCGCTGTTGGACGCCAGCAACTCGAGGATGGTCAAGCCTTGCTGAACCAGCTCGTTGCTTGTACCTCCTTCCCTCTTGTGCCGGTGTCTGTGTTCCCTTATCTTCATTCTCTTCTGGTGTCTCATGAGTTGTATGTGCGGTTCCTCTTCTCTTATCACTATCTCTTGGTAATGCTCTCCTTTTTTCAATGGTACTGTTGGTCGCTGATGCTGGGGTGGATCATCAGGGACTTGTTTGCTGTTCCGATTCCGATACGTCTGGGTGGTCTCCTCTTGGTCTTGGAGCAGGGAGGAGATGCACCGCATAGCCCCAGGGTACTTGGATAAGTCATCTATGTGGGCAGCAACATCGGCCACGATCGTCGCCGCGAGCTCTCTAATCTCCTTTTTATCATTTAGGCCGCCGATCACGGCAAAGCATCTATTGGGGCGAGACATTAATTTAACACAGGCTTCATCTAGGGTGCTGCTGCTTATCATAAGTGAGTCTATCAGTCTCTGAATCCTGTGTCTCGAGGGAAGCAGCACCCAGCTCACATCTTCCCCCTTGTTAACGAAGGCGCTGAGTAGCCTTGCACCATACAGGTAGTCCTCCTGGGATTCAGAATCCAGCAACTCAGCGCCGTACTTGATCAGGTCCCTGCCCTTAATGGATAGAGGATCCTTCCTGCATTTCGCGCTGACATCAGAAATGTACCTGGCGATGGCAACATGGCCCCACTTCTCTGGCAGTTGCTCTAGTGCAAGGAGGTGGCTTGCAATGACTGTCTCGCCCATGGTTATACAAAAGAGCAATAACAGGAACATGGTGCCTTGGAAAATAACAAGAGAATAGAATATGTTCAGTGTTGCCATCATGTCTGTCATGCTGTCAGTCCCATCCCTTTGATAACCGTGATTGAGCTTTGCTATGCGCAATGACGATATCGCTGCACAGGCCAAAGGCCCGAGCAGGTAGATCAGCTCGACGCACGAAGCAACGAACGAGAGTAGGAATATTACGACTATTGAAGAAACACCTATAAGGAACCTCATCCAATTAATGATCACATAGTTCGCGGTGAATTCGAAAACCTTAGCCATGAGTAGAAGGTACGTCTCCACAAAACTCCTGAGATACTCTACACTTCTCTCCCAGTCCTTAAGATCCTGCGGGCAACAAACATGAATGGTCCGTCGTCAGTTTCTTATCTCATTTGTCCCATAAGTCATTAAAGGGTGAAAGCATCTAAGCCATTAGTTGGGTTTCGATGATTAATGACAATATGTGATTACTATGACTAACATGTGCTTTGCAGAGGCAATTAAGTTAGGTCATGGTAATGGAGATCGATTCGGCAATAATGGTTGTCATGCCCCTACGATGAAAATCGTTTCGGTTTTCAAAGGATGGACGACAAGGTTAAGAATTGACTAGTTCTAAGTGTCGTTTGGTGTTGAAGAGACACTTAGAGTAGTTTAGGACTTTATTTTTCCTTTGACCGTACTATTAAGGGGGGTATGGACGGATAACTTGACCTAGGTGAGTCTAGTGGCTTAGGTGTGGTGCACACTTATTAAATCTAGCACTTCTAAATAGCACTTATATCCAATGGAGCAAACTTCATTCACATATAATTGAGAGTTGGAAGTGAATGGAGGGTCAAATGCTGACCGGACGCTGGTTTCGGTCTGACCGGACGCTGGCACAGAGTCCGGTCAGTTCATTTGATCAAGGTGAAATCGTCTGGTGCGACCAGACGCTGAGAGGTGAGCAACCGGACGTTGGGTGCCAGCGTCCGGTCGACTCCAGTAAAGTTCCAGAGAGGGAAAATCGTGACCGGACGCGTCCGGTCACAACTTAAACACTGGGTTTCGGGGTGAATTGACCGAAGTGTCCGGTCTAACTTGACCGGAGCGTCCGGTCACCCCGCAGAGGCATATAACGATTCATTTTTGAACGGGGTGTATAAATACTTCCTCCATTCGTGTGTGGGGGTACTTTTGCTCATTCCAACAGCTGAGAAACACTCTTGAGAGTGCCAAGAAGAGTAAGGTGCTAGTGAAGTGATTGAGATTTGAGAATCCAAGAGGGAGACCTCATTAGTGAAAGCAAAAGTAGCAAAGTGAGCATCCACCCTTCTCATTAGGCTTGTCGTGGTCAAGTGACAGTTCGTGCTGTTACTCTTGGTGATCGTCATCACCTAGATGGCTTAGTGATGATTGAGAGCATGGTGATCATCCGGCGGAGCTTGTGGATGACCCAACTCAAGTTGTGAGCGGTTGTGGGTGATTCACCGCGACGGAGTGTCAAAGAATTAACCCGTAGAGAGCACCTGATCCTTGTGCGGATGAAGGGGGAGCTACACCCTTGCGCGGGTGCTCAACGAGGACTAGTGGGGAGTGGCGACTCTCCGATACCTCGGCAAAACATCGTCGCGTTCCTTCTCCTCTCTTTACTTTGAGCAATTCAATTCTTATCTTTACATTCATAGAATTGCCATGTTAGAGTAGGATTGGAACATAGGTTGCTAAAATTTTGTGCGATAGATTAATAGAAACACTTTCTAGGCATAAGGGGTTAATTGGGCTAACCGTATGGTTTAATTATTGCAAAGAATTTTAGAATTAGCCTAATTCACCCCCCTTTTGGGCATCTTGATCCTTTCAATTGGTATCGGAGCCTCGTGCTTACGTATTTAGACTTAACCATCTAGAGAAAGATGTCTCACGGGGATGGTCCTCCTATCTTTGAGGGGGATAATTTTTTATATTGGAAAATCCGTATGGAGGCGTATTTAGAAGTTCTAGATGTTGGAATACTTAGAGCCGCCTCACAAGGTTTCCCAAAACCTCGGGATACCACACACCTACAAGACGATGAGGTGAATTACGAAAAATAGAATGCAAAGGCTCGAAACACCATCTTTAGAGGTCTTTGCAAAGATGTGTTTAATCGCGTGCGGAACCACAATGACGCCCATGCACTATGGTCGGACGTTTGTGCGCTCTATGAGGGAACAAAGAGTGAGCGTGAGGAACGCTATCATCTTGTCATGAAAAAGCTAAATTCATTTGAGATGCTTCCTAAAAAGAGTGCTAATGAAATGTACTCACGCTTGAATGTTCTTGTAGAGGAAGTCAATAGGCTTGGACTCACTCAAATGCAACCATCCGATGTTTTAAGGAAAATCTTGAGTGTCCTCCCCATTGATAAATATGGGTATATTGTGACCGTGCTTCATCAAGGTGATCTTTCCACCGCTACACCGACACAAATCTTGGGAAAGATCAATGCTCATGAGATGTATATGCAAATCACGCCACAAGATGGCTCATCCTCTACTAAGAAGAAAGACAAAGACTTGGCATTCAAGGCTAGCCAAGAGAAGGGCAAAACAAGACTTGAGTATGAGAGCTCAAGTGATGATGAAATTGATGATGCAAGTCTTGCTCTCATGGTGAGAAGAACCGTCAAGATGCTAAAGAAGCTAAACAAGAATGGCGTCAAGTTTGATGGCAAGAAAAAGAAGTTCTTCACTAGCACAAGAAGAAAGCCAATCTCGGAGATGGATTGCTACAATTGTGGAGAACTTGGTCATCTAGCACATCAATGCACCAAGTCTAAGAAAGACAAGTTCAAGAACAAATACAAGGGCAAGAAAGATGACTCAAGTAATGAATAAGAAGATGAGAAGAAGAAAAACAAGCCATACAAGAAGAGAGATGACAAGAAGAAGGACTTCCACAAGAAGAAGAAAAATGGGAAGGCATACATCATCAGTGATTGGCTCACAGACATTGATTCATCTAGTTGCTTATCTGATGATGAGAGTGATAATGAGAAGGTGGCCGCCATCGTGATTGACTCTTCATCATCTTCACCGACACCACCGCCGCCATCATCCTCTACACACCTATGCCTTATGACCAAGGATGAACGAAGGGTATCAAACAATGATGATAGTAGTGGTGATGAAAATGCTAGCAATGATTATAGTGATAGTGATGATGATGAATATGAATCACCTTCTTATGATGATCTTGTTAAATTGCTAAGTCAATACACTAAGATCATTAGAAAGACTAGAGCTAAGAATGATAAGCTAGAAGCTTAAAATGATTCTCTTTTAGCTAAATGTGATGTAGCGGAAAAGGCTAGTGTTGAGCTTAGAGAAGCAAATGATGCTATATCATCCAAACTCAAGGAGCTCAAATCTTCTAAGAAAGAGCTTAAAGATAAACATGATAAACTTGAGAGGATGCACAAAGAGCTCGTCATTAGCCACAACAAGCTAACAGAAGAATATATAACTCTCAAGATCAATCATGATAATCTTGTTATTGCTCAAAATTCTTATCCAATGAGCCACATGATGCTACTAACAATGTTGTTAAGGTTGATATAGTTACATCATGTGATGATTTGATCATTGAGAGCATTGAGCAAAGTTCTAGTAGCAAGGGCAAGCAAGTGGTTGAGACCGATAATTATGATGAGTATGTCATGCTCAAGAATGACAATGAAAAGCTCAAGAAAGATCTTGAAGAGATCAAAACCCACAACACTATTGTGCTAGAAACTCTAGATCATGATGGTGATTTGATTCTTGAAAATGAAAAGCTCAAAAAAGAAAACAAGAAGCTCAAGGAAGAGAAAAACAATGACGCACTCAAGGAAGAGAACAAGAAGCTTAAGTTGAAGAAAGAGCATCTCAAGATTGGATTGAGCAAGTTCACTAGAGGCAAGCATCTTTAAAGTGAGCTACTAATGAACACCATCATGAAGATGGATAGAAGTGGCATTGGGTACATGGCAAACAAAGAGAAGAAGGCTCAAGCTCAACAACAACAACAAAAGCCAAAGCCAAAGAAGTGTTTTGAATGTGGACAAGAAGGCCACTTTGTCCATGAGTGTAAAATTCCACCACCACAACCCTTGCCTAAGCATGCTAGACCCTTTACTTTCAATGCTCACTACATGCTTAGAAATGACTCTAATGGAAAGATGAAAGTTATGTTCTTAGGACCTCCCAACAAGAATAGGCCTAAGAAAAATTGGATGGCAAAGTCACTTGTTGAGAAGGTGAAGAGCCCTCAACAAGTTTGGGTTCCTAAAACCTGATCTCTTGTGTGTAGGTGAACTACAAGACCGGTGAAAGTCATTGGGTAATTGATAGTAGTTGCACACAACATATGACCGGTGATCCTCATATGTTCACCTAACTAGATGAAGAAGTAGATAGACAAGAAAGAATCACATTTGGAGATAATTCAAAGGGCAATGTTAAAGGATTGGGCAAAGTGGCAATATCAAATAATCATTCAATCTCAAATGTTCTATATATTGCTTCATTGAGCTTCAACTTGCTATCCGTTGGACAATTATATGATCTTGGCTTCTAATGCTTGTTTACCGAGAAGGAAGTTGTTGTATCTAAGAAGGATGATGATCAAGTGATATTCAAAGGATTTAGATACAACAACCTATATTTAGTGGATTTCACCTCCGAAGATGTTAACTTGAAGACATGCCTATTCACCAAAACAATACTTGGGTGGCTATGGCATAGAAGACTTGCTCATGTTGGGATGAGCTCACTCAAGAAGCTAATGAAGAATGATTTGATGGGAGGGTTGAAGGATGTGAAGTTTAAGAAGGATAAGCTTTGTAGTGCATGTCAAGCCGGCAAACAAGTTGCAAATACTCATCCTACAAAAGCTTTCATGTCAACCACAAGAGTGCTAGAGCTCCTTCACATGGATTTATTTGGACCAACAACATATAAGAGTTTGGGAGAAAATCTTTATTGTCTTGTGATTGTTGATGACTATTCAAGATACAAATGGGTATTCTTCCTTTATTACAAATTCGAAGTTGCATCATGCTTCAAGAAGTTTGTCAAGAGAGCACAAAATGAGTTTGAAGTAAAGCTCAAAAAGATTAGAAGTGACAATGAAAAGAAATTTGACAACACAAACATAGAAGCCTATTGTGATGAAGTTGGGATCAAGCGTGAGGTCTCCGCAACATATACTCCTCAACAAAATGGTGTAGTTGAGAGAAAGAACTGGACATTTATCACACTAGTAAGAACAATGCTTGATGAGTACAACACTCCTGAAGCTCTATGGGCGGAAGCTATCAACACCGCATGCTATGCATCCAA